ATCAGGGTGAACTGTGTGTCACCGTACCTGGTACCAACTCCGTTGGCTAAGAACTTCTTCAAGATGGATGATGAAGAGTGCCTTAACATGTATAAGAATCTGAAGGGGGCAAATCTGGAGCCGGTGGATGTGGCAGCCTCGGCGCTTTTCTTGGCCAGCGATGAGTCTAAGTACGTGAGTGGGCACAGTTTGATCATTGATGGAGGCTTTACCATCACCAATTGTGGTTTCTCCATTTTTGGTCAAGATGAGATCAATGAGTGATTTATTTTGCTGCCCTAGTCTACGGATAATTTCATTGTGTTGGGGAACAGTGAAATAAAGTAAAATAAATAAAATCCGAGTCCTTTGGACCAGTTTCATCAGATGCATGTGCTTGGTTTGGATGTTTTGAACAAAACAAAAAAAAAAAAACAATTATTATTAAGTTAAAACCTCATTTTGGTCCTTAAATTATTATACGGACCCCGATTTAGTCACTAAACTAAAAAAATCCCTAATTTGGTTCTTACTGTTTACTACTTTTACCCCAATTTGGTCCTTCTATTAAATATCCACCTATGTGTCCCGTTACTTGACAGGAAAAGGATGACATGTAAAAGCATTTTGACACCTAAGATGTACAACGTGGCAAAAAAATGAGATAGGCAAGAAAAAACCTTAAAATTTTTATTTATTTATTTATTCCTTTGTTGTTCCTTTTTCCCTTTCTTCTTCCTCTCCCTTTCCTTTCACCTTCTACAAACCCTAACACCTCATAATATTAAATTCGAGAATAACACAATAAATCAACAAATTGAACTCAATAAATCCTTTGACCTAACAGCTCAAAACAGAACCCAACGCTTGCTAGGTTTGATCACCTTCTTGGCTCGAAATCAAACCTAGCACCTGCAATAATCCGAGGATAACACAACAGACAACAGATTGATAACCAAATCAAACTCAACAGATCCATCGACTCAACGGCTGTTGGGTTCAAAACGGAATCCAGCACCTGGAGGAACACAACAGCTGCTCAAACTTAGCAGTCGTTAGGTTCCACCAACCCAGCAGTTGTTGGGTTCAATCACCTGTTGGGCTTTAAATTGAACCCAGCACCTGCTGGGTTTGAAACAAAACCCAGTGTTTGTTGGTTTTGGTTTCCAGTGCCTGCTGGGTTTGATTTCGAACCCAACACCTGCAGGAATCTAGCAGTTGCCTTGCCTTGCCTTCTTCATCTTCATCAATCAATTTTTCATCATCATCAAACAACCAAAACCAAAAAAAAAAAGACAAACAAAACAAAACAAAAATTTTGTTAATTTTTTGCCCTAACCCAGGATTTGGGTTCGATGGAACCCACGCGTAGGTTCCTAGCCACTAGGTTTGAAGGAACCTAGGCGTGCTGGGTTCCAAGGGGAAAGAGAAAGGGAAGGAGAAAAAGAAAGGGAAAGAAAAGGAAAAAGAAAAAAAAAGGGGATTTTTTAAGTTTTATTTTTCATAATATATTTTTATATTATTATTTTTTCCATGCCATCATTTTTTTTATCATATTGTCTTCCATGTGTAATAATTTTTGACATGTCATCTTGTAACCCTGAAGTAGCAGGTCACGTCATCAGATTTTGAATGGAAAACCAAATTAAGGTAAAAATGATAAATAGTAGAGATCAAATTAGAGATTTTTTTAGTTCAAAGATTAAATCAAAAGTTTATACAATAGTTTAGGGATCAAAATGAGATTTTAACCTTATTATTATAAATGAAAACCTCTCTCTCTCATTTTCTTCTCTTTTCACTTTCTATTTAATACTAATTTTCGGACACTGAAAGGTGGCTAAAGTATTTATCTTCTTAATATTAAAATTTTTAGTGATTTATCTTATATTATAAAATTTTTA